TAAAAGCTGCAGTGAAGAGAGGTTAAAGCTGGAACTATTCTAGAGGTAAGAGAGACTCACTTCCTCATTGTATTTTATTTAGTGCTTGGATGTATATAAGCCTACTGGTATAAGGCTTTTTATTACTGAGCCTTCCTGGATCCTCATGTGGAACCATTCAAACTGCTAAGAAACCTTTTACCTGTCCTGACAACCCTGACACATAGAAGAAATTCTGAGAATCCACTAGCTGGCACCTCCTCTTAGGTGGGAAGTTCACCATCTGACTGGTAGTTGATTCACAGGTATAACTGTGGTGCTTGTTAGCCCACATCCCACAGGTCTGGGAAGCCTCAGAGGCTTTAGGCATCCATGCATGTGTTACACATTTGAACTGATGCTGCTAGATCTGTTTGAAATCCATTGTCAGGGGTTTTGTAAATAAGAGCAGACTGGTTAGCATGTGCTAAGCAGTATGGAAACACTGCTTTCTTTAAGAGTCCCTGTTCCAAAGCGTTTGCACTACAGAAGGTGAGAATTAAAAGCCTGTTTGGGTTTCTTTCATTGTTTTTTTCATAAAGTAACAGAATAAACATATTTTAGACATGCATTCTGCAATTTCAGGATAGCTACGAGCAGGATTCCCTTTCCACCCCCAGTAGTTTAAATTTGTCAAATGTATATATTTCTTTCCTCACATAGATTCTTAATGCAACATGGAAGCACCATGCAATTCTAGCCATCACTTGAATGTATTACTTTTATTTTAAGTTCTATATTGCATTAGAAAAAGATTTTTAAACTTCATATGCATGTAAAGGGGAAGTTCTTTTCCAGTTATTAGAAATTAGACTCTTGCTGTCTGCTCCACAACATTTCATGAAGGGATATGACTTGGACTACATAGTTAAGCTGGAGACTCTAGAAGGAAACAAGCCTTTTCTCCCCCTACTTGAATTCCTACAGTAGTTAAGGGCAGTGCACTTCCAAGAGAAGGTTTGCCAATGCCCTTTGGGATTTCAGAGCTAACAGCTTCTGAATTTTGGAAATGCAGCTCCTGTCCCCCAATGCAGTTTTTTTAACCAATATATTTGCCATCTTAATGAGGTGGAATGTTACATTTTATGAAAGGAAAGCAATATTCTTCATAGATTGTATTTGTAAAAAAGTAAATACATAAATAAATAAAATCAAGACTATTCTATATACATTTTTCATATTTGTCTCATGGTGGACCTTGCTTTCTACTTGCTTGTCTCCACTTGTGTGAATAGTTACTGGGTTAAATACTGCAGTTCATATTTACTCTTGGATGAGGGAAAGAAAATTTATTTTGAAATGAACTGATGAAACAAGGGGAAACTTGGTTTTGTATTTAAAATGTTACATTTTTTCAGTAATCTCAGAAAATAAAGTAGAAAAGTGTAAATTTCATCCTATCTGTAAAGAATTAATTGTTTGCAAGGACCAGTAATTTAATATTAGCAGAAGTTGTCTTGTTTGGATTTTTTCCTGGTGAGTCTGCAGCAAATATGAAATTAAAGTTAGACAGTACTCCAAATCATGGCTAGATCTGCAAGCCTGCTGTATTGAGATGATCTGATCCAAATTAATTATTTTTGTCCTTACGATCTGCTTCTTGGCCAGAGTCAGTGCTTATGAAGCACAGATCTGCATCAGCATAGTTTGTATGTGAATACTCATTACAAAACATTTCTGAAATGCTCTCCAGGGATGATAGCATTCCTTCTCCACTGCAATTCATTAGGAGAGCATGGTCTAAAAGGCATGGACCAAAAGGCATGGTCTTTTTTCAGCACCAGACTTGAAGTTGTCTTTAGTTTGACTGATCTCTTAAGTTCTTAGTGATAGTTTCTCTTATCTCTTGTTTGGGTTTGACTTGGGCATCCTAATCTAAATGTGGATGGTCCTTGATGTCTGTAATACTTTTTTTAATAATAAGAATTTTTTAGTAAGTAATTTGGAACCTAGAAATTGTTTTGTTTTTTTTTAAATAAGCTATTTTTTTTTATAAAAAGGGCATTTTTTATCAGAACATAGATTTCACGGTTTTCTGCCTAAATCCAGTTACGTATTGTTAAGAGCACAAAGTTCATCAGACATTCAGATGGAAGTACACCACCAACATCAACAGTAAGTAACACAACTTAAATTGGTTCATTATGGATGCTGATGTAAAAGAAAAAGAGGATAGTTGAAGGGCAAGGCTGATTGCTTTGAGCAGTGCTCTGCGAGTTAGATCCATTACCATCTGGAATTGCAGAAGAAAATGTTTCTGTGAAAGTGGCTGCTACAGAGCAGAAGAGGAAATTCTGCTTGTTTTCCTGGAAAACAGATTTAATTTGACAAGATGGATAATAAGTTAATTTATTAATTATTCAAACTATGTAGTATTTGGAATTATGAGCTTGGAGGTTTTGTTTGTGTGTTTCAGAAAATTAGCAAAGCTGTACCCTGGTTCTACAGTTGACTCTGAAGAAAAGAGATTGCTCGACACTAACATGTCTGTATCACTAGCCTTCCAGTAAGCCATGAGGCTTACTATAAAGTTTAATATGTGAGGCAATAATGCAACACTGAAAAGTTTTTTCAAATAAAAGATATTTTCAGTATTTTGTTTCTTTTCCTAGGTATCTCAACTATATTAATTTGTCTTCTCATTTGCTGCTTTGAAATCCTGTATAGAAGCATCAGAGAACAGGTGGACCTCTAGGAATTTGGCTGCTCCTGTAGAAGTAATTATAACCTATGTAGAATCATAGAATGGTTTGGGTTGGAAGGGACCATAAAGATCATCTAGTTCCAACCCCACTGCATGGGCAGGGACACCTCCCATTAGATCGGGTTGCTCAGAGCCTCATCCAACTTGCCTTTGAAAACTTCCAGGGATGAGGAATCCAAAACTTACCTGGGCAACCTGTTTCAGTGTCTCACCACCCTCACACTAAAGAATTTCCTCCTAATCTCTAACCTTAATATCCACTCATCCAATTTTTATCCATTACCCTTTGTCCTCTCATTACAAGACCTTGAAAAAGGCCCTCCCCAGCTTTCCTGCAAACCCCCTTCAGGTCCAGTTAAATGCTGCCCTGTTTTGCTTTAGTTTTTTCACATATCTTTTCTCTAAATTCCGTGCTACCATTACAACCATGTAAATCTGTCAGGTAATAATAGTTACGTGGAGAGCCATTAAGGGGACATATGTATCCAACTTATTTACAGCCTTCCAAGTTGTTGTTTTTTAATAAATCAACTTGAAATACCTTAGTTTTTCATATGCATATAGCCTGTGTAAGTATATAATCTTAATTTCATTCCTTTGTTCACCTTCTAATGGTTACAAGTGCATGTTGAAGGTTACCATAATTGGATGATGCACCTTTTGGGAAGGCATTTTGGTACCTGTATCCTGGCCTCAGTATTTAAGTTATTTACTAGATTGTGATTAATTTTCTCTAATTAATTAATTTTGTAAATCTATATTACTATTTATTTTACTCTCATTTTTCTAGAGTTTTAACATTCAGTCAGTGAGTAGTCAGGATGAACATTCTCATGTGTAAAACACTGGAGATCAAGGCTCAGTTTACTGTTGTCACACAGATGTTGTGCTGGGCAGACAAGTCCAAAATACAGTGTTATGGCAAAGATGCAGGAAGCACAGATATGGATAAGGCAGACTTGTAATCTCTTTATGTAGTACTGCATTAACCTACTTGTTTTGTTACCAGTGCTTCAGCTGGTTGGTTTAGAGGTAACTTTATGTTGTGCTGCATACCGTCTTTTTACATCTGAACCAACAATTTAGTCATTCTGCGCCTCAGTTTTCCCTTTTGAAAATGAGAGTAAGTCTTCCTTAGGTTAGTATTTTTGAGGTGTGTAAATTGCAAGGACAAGGGCCATTTATGTATAAAGAGAATATTTATGTTTAATGTACGTATGATGTGATATAGCTGTTAAATTTACATACAGGAAATCTGGCAGAAGAGCGAGACTTTAGACATTGTTGAATCTTTGTACATATCTGTGTTATGCCTTAGTAGGTAAATTCATGACAGGAAAAGTGTTAATTATTCATAATGCTTTGCTGTACTATAAAACTCAGTTTATTGAGACTATAATTTGTTCAAGTTGCATGTAGTAGGAAAATATATTAGGAGTAATTAATTGTATTCAGGATGTGATGAGGTAGATATATCCACAGAGGACAATTGAAAACAGTAGCAGTGTGATATTGATTGCCTTTAAGAGGAAAAAAAAATAAAAATCTTGTCCCATTTCTAAATGTTAACAATTCAGAGAGAAAAATTCCCACTTGGGAAGAATGCTTTCCAGGTTGCTTCATTGCCAGGTGTTTGACATTGAGTGGAGCCTTAGATGAATGAAGCTTATGGCAGTTTTTGGAAATGACCGGCTCCAGGGAATCTTGGCTTCCTGCTGTGAAAGTTTCTATTTTCAAAGCACATCAGTTTCAGTGGGAATGTTCCAGTGGTCCCATATGCTACTTCTGACAGAGGGGGAAGTTTTTAACCTGAATATGAGACAGCTACTGAAGAGGTTCCCTTGCTGCTAACAAAATGAATTTCAATATGTTGCCAGTGAACAAGCCACATGTTCCCAACTGCTGATGGAATTTAACTCCATAAATTATTAATGGAAATTTTGCTTTGTTTTCCTTTTTGCCTGTTCCCTTTTAACTCAGCTACCTGCTTCTGACAGAACTTTGTGGGTTCTGAAGCTGAAAAAGGAATCACCCAAACAATGTACTCGTTTGCTTTGAAACTCTTGGTGTATTTTCCTCCCCTCCCTTGTACGCTCTCTTCTTGACCTAGCAGCAGGAAGCCTTTGTCTGAGGTGTTCATCTGGAACAACTTTTCCACACTTGTTTTCATGTTATGTTAGATTACAGGGCAGCAGGCCTAACTTTGAAGCTCCCTTCTCCTTTGTTTCTTTGCAGTGCACTCCAGTAATTAACTTTGTCCTTCTTTTATTTGTTCCAGTCAATCGCAGTCCACTCTGCTGAGCATCTTCTCCCAGGAGTACCAGGTTAGAAGTTTTCTCCTTTGTGAGGGTTGACAGGTGCCTAATTGAATGATGAATGTCCCTTTATTTCTTTGTAATTGAACTGCCAGCTTTCTGATTGGTTTGGAGGATGTTCCCTTTTCCACATCAAGCACCGCCTGAGTCTCGGTGGATGGCTGCCAAGCCTACCCATCCATCTGTCTAATAACATCTAGCCTTTGCTTATTTGGTGGACCTGTAATAAATTATGCTAAACCATTATTATTCTGACAATAATAATTTCCCTGCGTTGCGTGGTTCCATGTGCTAAATGTTTGCTGACTTGCACTGTCAGTGCTGCTTTCCATTGCTGACAGAGATGATGATAAATGACCATTGCCGGAGTGGCAGAAGGCAAGAGAGGCAGAAAATGGAGTCATTTATCATGAGATGACAGGTGTCAGTCAAGTGGCAAGTCTCTATGGAATTACTTTTTGTAGTTTTTCAAATAAGTTGTTTTTAAGCAATGTTCTTGCTGGTTAAAAATGCCAATTGAATTGTAAAACTAGAGTGCACCAGACTTAGATGGAATTGAATTGAGGGAAAATTAATACAAAGGTTGAAGGAGAGAACAAGTTTTTCTTTGCCCTCTGCAGCCTTCAGTAAACTTATTTAGATTCAATTATTGTGACCTTATTGGCTTTTACATATACGGTACATTGCAGTACAGTCTGAAGACGTTCAATTCAATAGGTAGATTGAATGTCATTTCTATACGGAATCTAAAAACATAGTTCAGTTTATATATCAAAGTGTAGCCAAGGAACATGTGTTTGGGCAGTCATGACTGCTGTGTTTTGATCTATGACACATTTGTAAAACTCTTTGTTTTTTCATTTTTTCTAGAAACAAATCAAAAGAACACATGCCAAGCATCACACTGCTGAAGCTATTGAAACTTACTACCAAAGGTATGACCTCCCCACCGTGCTTAAGAGTATCATTGTACCTACTAATTGTTATGGCAATTATGAATGAATTAGCTTACAAAGGTAATTTCCTATAAAAATGGATTAAAAATTTGGGATGAGGAATACAGAACCATTCAACGAAAAATATTATTCAATGAAAATTCAGAAATTTTTCAGCTTTTGGTCACTGTAATTAAGAAAGGGGGTTTACTTCCTTTGCTCTAAGTCACAATAAGCAAATATTTTTTTACAGTGCATGTGATAGCATCATATATTGCCTGTCATTTGTAATTACCATTTATTTGTCAAGACTAATACTGATGATTATTTTTTTAAAGCAAGGGGGCTTGTTCTGTTACAGTTGCTTCTACTTTAAAACAACATTTGTGTTACATTAAAAATGTTACATATTATATTCATGTGTTGCCTATTAAAGGACTAATTTTTAGATCACTCGTGTTTTATCAGCAGAAATGTCAGAAATACTTGTTAAGGGAGAATTAAAACCTCTCTGTCATTCTACGTTGTTTTTACAATTGTTTGCATCTCCAGCTAATAAATTGTATTCACTACACCTTATAGTTTGTCTGTTACTTCTGTAGCCTTTACTAAAAATATTGAAATGACATAATTGGGGCATCCTGATAAATGGTAAAGATACCCAATTAAAATATTACTCTGTAGACTGACATATCTGAGGAGCATGCATGGCAAGTGAGTTCCTACTTGTGACTACAGATGTCTGATATTTATGCTTTATATTAATCTGTATGAATCAGGAAAATAAACAAAAAGCCTTCATTTGTAAACAATTAACTGTACTACCACAGAGTCATATATTTAAAACCTATGCACAGTCTTATTACGTCAGGCACTGGTTTAGAATGTCTAGTGTGAATTGTACTGTGTGGAAGTTTGATTTTCTATTTTTAGTAGTTATATTGTTCTGTAAAAATTTGTAGTGGATCACATTGCACTTTTTCTAGTGTTGACTCTTGTTTAGGAAGAATATTGGCTTCAGATTTTCTTGTGTTAATAGCTGTGTGCATACAATACTATTTTTAGTGATTTTTCACTAGCACAGTTTCAGTGAAGTGCCCTGAAGTAATTGTAAGTGCTGTGTAAATAACCATTTTCTTAAGACACGTGTAAATAACTTAAATCACTTTTATGTTGATTTTGTTACTAGTTCTGACAACTTAAACTTGAAACATGGGACCAAATTTCACTTTATGCAAAGGAGCAGTTGTATTGGTGTCAGTAAGGTTGTAGGTGTGATTAAGTTTGGCTCACATCAGGTAGGAGGATTTGGTCTCCTGTCCCCTTCTGTACTGTCTGAACTATGATAGCAGTACATAACTAATGCATTATGTATGAAAGTGTATGGTGGTGGTAGAGAAAATCATTCTTTATGCTGTTTCTGGGTATATCATATTGCAAATGTATTAACATGGCTGAATAAAATGCACATTTTTAAATCAGAGATGTTCTGGTTAATAGTTAGAAAACTAATCTCAATCCTGTTTTAGTAGATTTACTGTGTAGTATGTTTCATAAGCTGCAGGGGCAGACTACTTGAGTCAGAAGCCAGCTTGAAATGCTCCAAGTGTCAACATGACAAACATGTCTTCTCCTCTACTCTTTTGTAGCATCCATCTTATCACTGTGAAGCCCAGTCTGTGTGGTTTGCTCCTTCCTGTTCCCACCCACATAAAAGCAAATAATTGTGCTTCTATTGCTTTCCTAGTTCAGAAACTACCAGTTTTTGAAGGTAGTAATTTCTGGTGGTCCCTTTTGGGAGCAAGTAGAAGTACAGTTGACTGGAGTAGATTCTGCTGCTCTGATGAGACTTACTGGTCTTAAATTTAGGCAAAAGTGAAGGCAGATTACAAGGATAAGCAAGCTTTTCAGAACAGTATTGCCATTAACGTGTGATCTGTTAGTCTATAATGGAATTGCCAGTAGCATTAGAAATATATGACATAAAATTACTCCATTGTCAGCTGTAGCTTTGCTATTTGATCAACTAGATGCGTGTTTCAGAACACTGATCTCAAGTAAATCTTCTTGGTTAGGTATTTAGTTTATGCTCTCTCCTTTTTTTCTGCTATTATAAATTTTCAATGTTTAACTGTAGATGAGGCATCTTGTGGGTTTTTATGTAGAATCAAAATAGGTTACAGCAAAAAGCTTTTATAATTTCTGTTATTCATTAAGACCCAGAATAACTTGCAAAGAAAAAGCCCTCTAATCCTCTGTGAAGACGTTTGTGTAAAGGTGTTACACCCGTTCCACAGGAGGGTAAAATGATAAAGAATTTTAATGTCTGTAACTAATGAGCAGAAGAGTGACTTCTGATGGATAGGTAACGATAGCGCTGGAAAGGCTGTGGCCTTCTAATGACGTCAGTAATGATGTGCTATACAAATACAGATAGGATAAATGAGCAGGTTCAACTGGTAACTGTTGTTCTTATCCACATGGCTCCAAAGCACAAAGTGGCTTCCAATAATACAGCTTATTCTCATCAACCTTTGAGAACAGGTTTAGGCGTGATTGAAATGTAAACATCAAAGAGTGAAAGTAGCAGAGGTGGGTGAGGAAGGTTATGTTTTGTGATGCAATGGTCAGAAACATCCCTGTGTATCCATACTGGTCTTGTGCTCCTAACCTGAAACGTTAAACCTTTGCCACTGATAGTGTAATGACTTTCTATCACCTTTTATTAGATCCTTAATATTTCTTTTTTTAATTCTCTTTAGAATATTAATTTTGTTGTTAGACTCTGATTTCACTAAAGAAAGCCTTAAACTACTCCCCAGTTGAAAGAATCTGAATTAAACTTGAGAATTTATGGTTTTGTGCTTAGTAGTGATTTGAGTAAGATTTAGTGTGCCATCATAGTTGAAGGTCATGTGAAACCCAAAATCTTTAGTGTGAATAATAGAGGTTTATTTGTCTGTGATGCATCTTTGAGTAATACAGATATTATTTTTTTGTATGGTGTTAAGCCAACTTTTTTTTAATTTCTTGATTTTTCTTTTTTTTAACCATTGACTTAATTGAGAGTGATGTATCTTGCAGATGAATAGAAGACAACCCTGGAGAGCTAGTGACTGTTTAAAATACTTTTATCTTAAAAGATTTCGGATTAACTATTCTGTACCAAGGTGTTTTCCCCCAAGTGAGAGAGATTCACAAGTGATACTGACATGTATAAACTGGCCCTTCTTTCCACTGTAGAGTTAACTGGCTTTGTCTTGTCTAGGTACCTGAATGGGGTGATGAAGAATGCAGCTGCCCCTGTATTACTGAAGCTGGCCAATGAGGTAATCATCTTTACTTTTTTCTTTTAATCTTGCAGTGTGAAACCTAAGGGGCATATCTATAGTGACTTCACTGAGAAATGTAATTAACCTAAAAAAATGGTTTCAAGGCACATTAGACATTTAAAATGGTTCCCCAGTCTGTTAGTACTTACAATAATTAGACAAAAAGCCCCATTTATTAATAAATCAGTTAATGTAATTAGTCTCTTAACTTCAAGGCGAGTGTCTAAGAAACTATGAATTTGTATTCTGCTGGAAATTTTAGGCAGACCATAGGTCTTTAATGCACAAACTTAGTAAAAATTTCCACATTGATTAAATAGAGTTGCATCAGTTTTACTTATATTTTATTCCTTGTTTTTAATAACAAAACCCATGTAAGATATTTTTTAATTATAGGAAGAATTAAACCAGTTAATTTTCCTTACTCCATTTTCTTCTGCTTATACGGATTAGAGGATGGCTAATGAAAGCTCTTTAATATACAGCAATTAAGCAGAATAAATTCCTCACTATAGACATTTCTTAGAAAAGCTGGCATATGAAAAGTTCGGTATGGTTGCCATTGAAGTCTTGACAAATGTATTGATGCTGTTTATTAACTAGAATATGAATCTGCCTTGGGAGGGAAGGTGTTATTTGCATCAAAAACTGCTATCTAAAGTACCACCTTAAAGAAGATTTTAAAAGTTTGAAAGAGTGGCAGTGAGGCTTTAAAAAAAATAAAAATGAAATATCTATCCCTTAAACTCCGAAATATTTATTTACAATAATAATAACAATACAATAGCTGATACTCCATGGAACTTCTTATGCAACCCTCAAAGGAATATAATTCAATATATGCTGGTTTGTGTTGCATTTTAATAGAAAATGTAAGAGGGAGGCAGAAAATGAGTGCATTAAAAATGATATGGCACTATGAACATTAAGTGTTGCAACAGCAGAAGTTCTACATGTTACATTAGTAAGAAAGAATGGTTTCTCTCTCATGTGTGTTGCTGCATCCCCCAAATGAGCGATTACCTATCAATTACTAGAAGGTTTTAATGGTCTGTGAAGTGTCTACATACCCTGATCATACAGTTAGCATAGAATAAAGGATTTATTTCTCATTAGTGGTAATGTGTAGTATCTTACCATTTCTGGAAAAGACAAGGCTTAAACTACTGAGAATAGAATGTACTTTAAATAAGTACAATCTTATTAAGAATTTAGGTAAACAACCCGATACATGATATATTGCACCCATATTATATGACAACTGTCATAAAAATATTTCAAGCACAAAGTAATATATCTGTTACTGGTTCTCTGTATATTTTTTCCCATTGATTTAGAGATGATGTATATAATTTCTGACTCTAGTGAGCATATCTTTGTTTATGTGATACTAATGCATTTTTGCAATTCAGATCAAATATATATGCAGTTCAGAAATAAATAAAAATTAAATCTAAGGGAAAGGGAAGATATACAAAGAACTTACCCGCTTCTGACTTCATAGTAGCAGGCATATAAGAAAGGCAATGCATTTTGTGACTGCTGCCTAATGCATTAGGGAAATGTGGCAATAACCAGCACCAGATTACTGCTTCCAAACAATCAAGCTGCCATTTTTATATGATAGTTAATATTTAAATGACATACTCTTGCATCTGCTGACAATTGATGTAATGGTAATACTTTATGAGTCAATATATATTTAATCAGTGGAAACTGTAAAAATTGATGAGAAATATATAACATAGGTACATTACAGTGTGTAGCAGCCCTGCTAAATAGAAAAAGCTCCATATTATTATCTTTTGGGTTTGTTTGAGGGGTTTTCTTGAGTGTTTTGGAAACTACTTTTAATTTTATTTTTTAAAATTTTGTTCACCAGTTTCTTCATATTGTATATGTAGTGCAAAAGAACTAAAATAAATTTCCTTTTTTCACCTTCCTTTTTATTCACTGTTTTCTCCATACAAATATTTTCAAGTGAGATTTAAAGCACTATGAATTTTACTTATATGCTAAATTCTGACATGAAGCATGATGGTCCTATTTCAAAGGAAGATGGACACATGATTAATATGAAAATTAGGAAGATGCAAGTACCTGAACTAATAAGGTAGTCCTTATTCAGGCTGGACTACCTTCAGTAATTTCACCATTTTTCATGTGTCAGCTCTGATGTGGGTTACTGAAAATAAGCAGCTCTGTGGAAAACATTCCTCTGTACTTGGGGAATTTAAGGGCATCCAGGTACATACATATTTGGAAAAATATGTGCACGGATGAAACCACTTTTTTTGTCTAGTTACTGAATCAAAATAATTTTTTTTTGTATTAATATTGAACTTGAAGATTCTTCAAGAAAAACTCACTGGTACAGTGTGTGGCTAAGGTTTACTGTCTCATAGTTGAAATTCTGATTCACAGAACGAGTATTATAATGGTATCTAAAAAGCTATTGTAATTTCAGGTAGAACTACACCATACATTTTCCATACATATAAAAACTATTTAAATTAAGAAATAGCTTTGTTAAAAAGGAAAATACAAACTCTAAAGATGAACAAGCTGAACATGATGCTAAGGATATCTGGTATCACTTGATGGGTGCCACATATAGTGAGTATTCACAGGAAAGCATCACCACTTCTCTTCCTTGGTTGGTAACCTTACAAAAGGGATTTTACTGTCATCTTTTGCAAAGAGTGGTTCAATGCATAATGTTCAAACCTAATAACCAGTAGCATATGTTATGTACTTTATTCAGTTTTCCACTGGATACTGTATGTTGCTGCTACACATTAGGTCAAATAGTTGAGCTTATTAATTGGGAATAGCTACTGTTTCATCTGTTTTTGCTCTTTTTAATCGACGAGGAGATTAAAATGTGCGAATGTGCATCAAAATGCATTTACCTCCTAAAATTAGCTTTTTATTTTTGTTGAGGTAAGGTGGACTTTGCCCCATCATTGATGGCTCGTATTGTGCTGGAAAGATTTCTACAAGAAGAAGAAGCCACTGTTCGTAAGTATCTCAACAGTTGATTTTTTTAATACTGTGTTTTAAATTTTAGGATATTTTTGTTTCCACTTTTTACTTCAGTGGAAGAAAAACACAGCTAACACAACATTGCAAGTAAGCTAATGAAGGTAACATTTGAAGGCTATTATTTTCGACAGCTAATGACAGTTAAACTGTATGTAAAAAGAGCACCCACAATTTCTTACTAGCGAAGTGAATGCTTTCTGTTTAGAAACAGAAAACAACCTCTTAGATTTTCACAATTTCTGTTATTTCAGTAAAATAAAGGTTAAGGGGATCACACTATATTTAAATGGTTTGAAGCTATGTGTTTTAAAAGTCATTAATTACTAAAAATAGGTCTTAAAAATAAACCTAAACCACTTCTTA